CTAATATACATGTGGAATTGAATTGTCTGTAGCACGAAGCTTTGGAGATTACCCATGCAAAGTGGGAAGGTGATCTAAATTTAAAATTGGCCTCAGTACCATGGAAAGTAATTTTGCAGCATGCTTGCACCCCCTCACCTTACCACATCAAAATGTGCAGAGATAGGCTTAAACACAGGACCCGAGTCTTCCTAGAAACGGTTAAGCTTTTCTCAAAGTGATGAAGGCCAGTAGCTTTCTCCAGTGCAGGTCTGAGGATGCCTTCCAGATCAGAAGGATGGTTCAAATGCAGCAGACCTTTCAGACACAGACTTACCAAGCACTCCTTGGTTACCTACTAAAAGCTTCAAAAGCTGGATGAAGACAGGGCCGATAGAGGCAAAGGACAGCAATTGATGTGAATTCTCAGTAGTGGAGTTGTTTCTGTAGCTGGCCAGCCCATTGAAAACCTCCAGGGAGGACCATGCAGCCTTTTCCAGCGTTCCAGGCAGCTGTTTATGTTTCAGACAAGGGCTGATCTCATGAATGACGTCCTGCAGAGGAGAGTCAGGCAGGATGCACCAGTCCTTGGTGTAGGGCTTGGGACCTGCCCAGCAGCAGGAGAAGATGTCCAGGGAGCTGTAACAACCTTGCTGGTGCTTTCCAGTGGGAGGGAAGAAAAAAAAGAAGAGCCAAGTAGGATGTCTTAAGGGTGCTGCTTCTCAGTGCTGACGACGTGTCACTTTTTTTAAAATCCAATCCATGCTAAGTGACTCAGCTGTTTATCTCCTGGCATGGGAAAAAATAATTGAGATAGGGTAACAACTCAGTACTGCTCTGCCACAAGTACCATCTTGCCCAAAGATGATTTTTTTTCCCCCCTCCACTGTTTAGCAACAGTCCCAGGTACAATTGATAGATTTAGGTGGGTTTGTCTAGGTCTCATCTTTTGCTCCTCGCTACTAAAATTGTATGTAACCTCTGTATCAGAAGCTCTGCTGTCCTCCAGCACCTCTTGGGTCAGACACTGCTGTTTGTCTTGACCTGCAGTCTACTAATGACCAGCATCAGGTACAAGGAGGTCACAAAGCAGGAAAAGAAGCTGTGGATGCTGCAGCTGTGGGTTATGCCCCTGGTTGTGCCCAAGAAGCCTGTCTAGAAAGCTTATGCCCTAGATGAGGGCTGAGGGCCAAGCTTTTAGTTTCGTTAAAACAGCCAGGGCACATAACAGGAAGGGTAAACTTTTCTGGTGGTTGCAACCTTTATGTTCCTTTTGCAGGCATTGCTTTGCTGTATTTGCACCTGTATGATGTGTATGGAGACCCAGCTTACCTTCAGGTGGCCCACGAGTACATGAAGAAGAGCCTGAGCTGTCTGACAAGACGATCCATCACTTTCTTGTGTGGAGATGCTGGACCCTTGGCAGTGGCTGCTGTCATCTACCACAAACTGCAGAACCAGAAGCAGTCAGAAGACTGCATCACTCGGTAAAACGCTTGGTTATGTCTTTGACCTAATGTTCCTCTTGCTCATAGAGCTAGTCTGGGCTCGTACCAGGCACTCTCTGCCAAGCCCGAATACATTTTGTTGCAGTCTTATGTGAGAGAGAATCCAGTAATTTAGCAAGGCAGTACAAACTTGTTCTGTCCTGGGGAAAGAGCTAGCTTACGGACAAACACACTTGCCTAGCAGCCTGTAGACTGGGGAGCAAGGATATTGTTCAGCTGGTACTGCCATCTTAAAAATAATTCCGATAAACACAGGAAGAAAAAAATGCCAAAATTGGAAAAACCCAGAAGGTGAGGTTTGGTATTTTTTCAGAACCCTTGAATTTAGCTTTACTGCCATTTTGATGAAAAGGAGAAATGTGGCAGGATTATTAGATTAATTTTGTCACTCGCTTCCACTTGCTATTTGTTAGTTGACTTTGACTTAAACCTAAGATTGACAGCATCCCTTTCAACTGCTGAATGCAGCTGGTTATGATTCATTTATTTCTATTTCCTGCCTTTCCTCAACTGTTTTCAAATGTATTTTTGTTGGGTACTTAAGACAAGAGAAGGACAAACAAGCAGTTCTACAGTCAGATCGGCATGTGGCTGAGGAAGGAAAAAAGTTAAGGAGATGCAGTTGCAAGCTTTTCTTGCTTAAGGGAGATCAGTTTTGAGAAGGTGAGAAACAGTCCTGTAAAGAGTTTCCATTTACGTGTGGTCAGCACAAAAACAAGACAAAACCCCTGACACTTCAGAACAACACTGAGTGCCCTTAAACAGCCATGAGCAAGTGATGCATAATATCAATTAAAAAAGCCATGGGTGAGAATCAGAGGTGCCTGTATGGTTTGGACGCCAAGTTCCCACTCCCTTAACTATGGTTTATGTGGATATGGTCAGTCTGAGGACAGAACTCTTTTCTTTATTCTTGAAATAATCTGTGGTTTAGCTTTTGCTTAATAGCGTGTCAAAGTGGTGAATCTCACTATGATTAATATATTTGCTAACAAAAAGGGAACTAATCTGTCAAACAGTACTGGCCAGTTGTGGTCAATGCATAAGCACCAAGTTGTGAAAAATCCCTAGTTCATGTTTTCTTGCTGTAGCTCTTCCCTCCCTGTATCCCTCCTGTTCTGCCTACAGTTTTGTGGCAGAATGGAAACTCATGATTAATTCTGCACTGCCATCTAATGGCATAATAAAGTCAGAGCCCTGGAAATTGATTTCTTTGTACATCTGAGGAGGAAAAAAGAGAAATGTGGCTTTCTTGAAGGAACAGTTATACTGTCCTTACTCTGCCACTGATTCCCAGAGCAGTTAGCCTGACCATGCTACCTTTAAAAAGAGGGTATTTCTTTGAGAAATAGCTCCCTTAATCAAAACTCTTTAAGTGGGTTTTGAGTATGCTGTTCAGTTACCGAACAGTTGCTAAGTTATGCGGTGAAGTGCATAGAAAGAGCACTTGTATTACAGCTGCGGAGAAGGAGGGCCTTTCTCCGTTTTGTTCTGTCTTCTAAAGCACCTCATCTTTACAGAGCCTGAGGAGAGAATCCATCAGCCAGGTTTTACCTGCAGTGGAAGAGACAGAAGCTTGCTTTTTCTTAGCTCCTTGCACTTGCCTAAATGAGTTCATGACCAACAAATGTGCTTTTATGGTCTGGAGAGACTAACGTTTCAGGGCAGCCCATTTTCCAAGAGCCTGTGAAAACCTGAGCCGTGTTCCAGGAGTCCTCTTTTCCCTGCCATCTCCCACCAATTCAGAAGGTCAAAGGTTTGCTTTTAGAGCCAGTGGCATACAAAAATTCCATCTTGCTCTACAGCTGCCTCGCTTTCCCTCTGTCAAGAAACTATTGATTTTTGATGGTTGAGGTAATAGGCTGATATGTGAGCAGGAGTGGCTCTTCCCTTCAGGGACCTCGATTTACCCCCTCGCACCTGAGAAATGCATTCTGCATGCAATCAGTCCACCAGCATCCCAGTGATCTCTTGCTGCACACATGCCATGCAGCCTTGCCCCACATTTCAAAAACAACAGAAACCACTGGCAGACTTCCTCCCCTGATTATCCTGGCTGGGAAAGCAGCTAGAGGTATAAGCAACAATGAATAAGGAGCAAGAATAGTAGCTCCAGCCACTCCAGATTTCCCCATGAAAAGACTTCGCATCCAGATCTCAGAAAATCCCTACCATGGGTATTACTGTTTATCCACCCATCCTTCTATTGCACCTGACATTTCCCTGACATCTCAGAGCTGAACAACATCACCAGCCAGCATCTCTTCTGGCCAGCCTGCTTGCTGGGTAGAGTCCATCTGTTGAAACACTGTTTTCCTCCTTGGAAACCCTCCTCTTCATCTGCCTTCCTTGGACTTAGGGACAGGGGACATGAGGAGGCAGCAGGGCTTTCCTTTCAGCCCACACAGCTGAGAGAGGGACCCCTGCTTACTCCTAGTCTTGGATGTAAAGTCTTTCTCTTGGGTTTAATCTGCGAGAAATCTCCCCCATGGAGCAATGCACACCTCAAGTGGTACGTGAGGAGATTGAAATGCCAATCCACCTTGAGACACTGCTCTCTCCTTTCTCCTTCAATATCCCTGCTCACTTTGAGTCCAGTGCCAAGGGAAAGTTTCCTGCCATGGGGAGTCACAGCCCAGCATCCTCTCTCTCCTCCGAGGGTACTCTGGACATTTGGTTGCTTCTTTGCAACACATTGTTCTGCCCAGGAGCAAAGGCTGCCAAGGCACCTTTTCTGCTCCTCGCGCTGCTGTGACAGGGAAGCCCTGCACACACCCAGCTCTCCTGGCTGGTTTCTTAGTCCTCTCCCTGTTGCAGCCACAGCAGGAAGCAGCTGAGGGAACAGCCGTGAAACCACTTACGCTGGTATTTTAAAAGTGATGGCATTTTTCAGATTGCTGTCTCAGGGGTTAACAGAAAAATAAAGCCAAACCCAGTCACATCCCTGTCTGCTGCTCTGACAGGGAAGAACATCCAGCCTTGTTGGAAGTGTGATGAGAAGCAAAATAAAGGAAAAATTGTATCAAGAGTGAATTGGGCTACAAAGCACCAGTGTGAAGAGCTGTTGGTCTCTGTTAGCACTACAGGAATATCACCAACTTGGCAACATGATAATAGAAAAATGGCAAAGAAAATATCTGACTCCAGCAGACGTCTCGCTCTGGACTTGTGGTCTAAAGGCTGGTGTCAACCAGGCAGTCCTCAGTGTGGGGTTGCACCACATACAGCCCACAGCACTCACACTCTGCTGAGGTGTCCCCACTACTGCTCAACTCTCCTTAGAGAAGATTTCTTACATGTGCTGCAGAGGCTTGATTTTAAACAACATTCCCAGCTGCTTCTCCCCACCTCTCACCTAGATTTTTAGCTTATGGAGGCACCTCTTTCTCCACTGACATTGTAGCCCTGGCCACTTGCGGGCATGGAGAGAAAGGGGCTTTTCTGTCAGGACTTCTGAGAATAAGGGGTGAGATTTTTCCACATACCATCGGCACTAGTTTGACTTTCTAGCATTCCTTGGGCAGCCAAATTAAACACACACCATTTTAGTTTGAAAATACTCATTTTTGGCAGAGGGTCTGCCTTGCCAACAGCATCACAGGGAAGTAATGGTGGGCAGGCTTTCCTTGCTGAATTGGGGCAGCCTTTCCTGAGCAGTCAGCAACTTTATGCTGACTGTTTCCTATAGCCCAGGTTTCCCCACAAGTAGCTTTCCCGGCGCTGGTGCTCTAAAAAACAAGCACGTAGTACAACTGCATTGTAAAGAGCTGAGCAGACTAAAGCAATAACCCAAACAAAAAGCAGAGGGGAAAGACGGATTCTGCACCTTGCATAGCTGGAAGGCTGAGACCCAAAGACTGGCCTGACATCTCCCAGGGCATGGGCAGCACGAAGGAACAAACCACATTTTTGAGCTCTAGTCTTACTGCTTGGTTACATGGTTTTGTGTATCCTCTAATCTCTCCCATGTGAATTTTTCTTTGTAGTTTGCTCCATCTACACAAGCTTGACCCACGAGTGCCAGATGAACTGTTGTACGGGCGCATGGGCTATCTCTATGCACTGATATTTGTGAACAAGCACTTCGGAGAGGAAAAGATCCCTCAAAGTCACATTCAGCAGGTACTGTGGCTTCTGCTGATTTGTTAGCTCCCTCTTCCCACGCAGCTCATCTTTGGGCCGGTAAAAATCAACAGTAGATGTAGAGAACTCTGGCAACAAGGCAGAAACCACATCATGGTATCCCTGCTACCCTTCTTCCAAAGGGGCAAAGCACCACACACCCCCCACCATCCATATAAATCCATAGGCAGTACTGAACTGGCATACATTTCACTCCCTCACCCACACTCTTCCCTCTGCTTGGGCAGAAAAACAACTGGTTTGTTCTGTACCAGGATACTCACTGTGCTGTGTCCAAGGCAGCAGCATTTCCCTCACCTGCATCTGCGTCCTGGTTTCAGCTGGAATAGCGTTAATCTTCTTTCTAGTAGCTGGTACAGTGCTGTGTTTTGGATTTAGTATGAGAGTAATGTTGATAACACACCGATGTTTTAGCTGTTGCTAAGTAGTGCTTACACTAGTCAAAGACTTCTCAGCTTCTCATGCCCTGCCAGCAAGAAGCTGGGAGGGGGCACAGCCAGGACAGCTGACCCAAACTGGCCAAAGGGGTATTCCATACCATGTGACATCATGTTCAGTATATAAACTGGGGGGAGTTAGTCGGGGGCTGGCGATCACTGCTCAGGAACTGGCTGGGCATCGGTCGGCAGGTGGTAAGCAATTGCATTGTGCATCATTTATTTTGTATATTTTTTTATCATTATTATAGTTATTATTTTCCCTTCCTGTTCTGTCCTATTAAACTGTCTTTATCTCAACCCACGAATTTTACTTCTTTTCTGATTCTCTCCCCCATCCCACTGTGGGGGGGTTAGTGAGCGAACGGCTGTGTGGTGTTTAGCTGCCTGTCGGGTTAAACCACAACAATCTGTTCCCATCCACAGGTCTGTGAAGCCGTTGTAGCCTCAGGAGAGAGCTTGGCCAAAAGGAGGAACTTTACAGCAAAGAGCCCACTGATGTATGAGTGGTACCAGGAGTACTATGTAGGGGCAGCCCATGGTTTGGCTGGGATTTACTACTATCTCATGCAGGTAAGAGGCACTGGAGGGGAAGGGCCTTTAGCAGCTGTTTCATGTTTCTTTGAACAAGGAGGAGCATTTGAATTGGCTCTTGGTGATGTCAAACTAGGCAAGATCCCTTGTCTGATGGACTTTCTCCTGGGTTTGATCACGCATCCCTACTTCTAACGGTTTTCTCTAAATCTGTGAGATTGAATTTCCCACTTCCATGGTGATCGGTAGGGAAATGTGGCCTGCATTATACCAGCATTTTCACATAATGAAGCCCTGTAGGTCAGCTGAGTCTGAGCTTCCTCCTCTTGTGTTAATTGCTTACAAAGTATTTCCATTTGTTGGTATCTGTGGGTTTCCTGTGTTTTTTGATGTAGTTACTTGGAGCAATCTCAGATCATTGCAGAATGAGAATCTCTGTAAGAAAAGCATGGTGAAAGAGATTGTGTTCATAGTAGGAAAGTGGAAAATGCCTTTCTTTACAAATCAGGGCCTCTATCTAAATGTTAAAGAGGAGGGACTTTTTACTTTGATAAAGCAGCTGAATTCTATAGTGCCTGAAGTAGGCAGGGCAAGACAAGAGGTTGGGAGCTGCAGTGCCTCTTTGCTTTGATGCTGTCTTTCTCACAATTTTGCACAACTCGCTGGAGCTCTGGGAATCTTTGCTTCCCTGGCTCTGAAATGAGGGTGATAATTCCCCTATGTGGGTCACTTTGTGCATAAATTTACAGTGCTTAAGCTCTTAGAAAAATAACAGCAATAAATAACATTGCATTTTCAAAGCATTAAGGGCACCTACTGAGCAACACAAATTATGTAAACACAGCAAGGTTCATAGAAATAGGTGATATCTTTTATTAGACCCAACTCTCACAGCAGGTGGAAAAAAAGCCATCAGGTTTCAAGTATTTGAGCTTCCCTTCAGCAGCCTCAAAGTTCAAGCTCATACACAGGATAAGCAGAGTTCCTGTGAACGTAACCCTCTTACGTGACTCAGAGAGGAAGGGGTGGTTGGTGTTTTTTAAGCAGAAGGAGATTTGGCAAGAGGAGGATGCGAAGTGATTATTGCCCAGGAGTACAGAATGGCTAGCTGGGAACAGAGGAGACAGCAGTGTGCTGTGAGCCCAAATTTGCACCAAGTCCCTGAGCTTGTTCCCAGGCTGATGTTTTAAAGAATTTTGAGTGTAAGTTTCCCATAAAATACTGCATGGGCTTCATGCTTCTCTGCCGTATGAAGTACAAGGAGCCTGGATCAGCCAAGCATGATGCACAAAAAGCCTTGGGGGAAGCAAACAAGGGAAATACGGGGAGGAGAACATTGGACTTTTATCTCTAATGGTTTTACAGCACAAGTATTGATTTTTAATTTTCAAGTTATCAACCTGGGAACAGTGTGATCCTTAGATGAGAGTGCTCATTGCAGTCTGCCGTGGGAAGTCAGAACTGCACAGATTTCATGTGGGGCAGTGTCATTGGAAGAGGACACTGAAGCCACTCCTTTGCTTCCATCTGAGGTCAGCGGTGAAGTCACCCCCTTGCAATTACCCAGAAACATTTGTGAAAATGCAGCATCACAGCCCTCCATCTGGGCTAGCCCAGCAGCTCAGAGCTGAGATGCTCTAGGTGCTAGGAATCATTCCTGGTATTCATCCTTAATACTGTTTTTATACAGTTTATCTCTTTACTCCAACTCTGGGTACCTGAAACTATTCCTACTCATCTTCAGGAAAAGAAACAGCGAGCCCTCTTGCTTAGAGGGTCGGGTGACACGCTAGGGGCAGCCTTTGTTTCGGAGGATGCAAGGGTATGACTGGAAATAAGTCCCTACCGAAGGGCAGAGCAGTCTGGGGCCAAATGGGTATTTGTGATGTGTGAAAGCCTGGACCAAAGAAATAACTTGATTTACAAGGAGCAAGAGGGAACGTGGCCATAGTTGGCTTTGTTTCTGCCTTTCAGGCAGATCTTGGGCCTCTTAGGGAGAGACAGAATGGTAATTCTCCCTGATTTAACACTTTCTCTCTCTTAGCCTGGCCTTGGAGTGAGCCAAGTAAAACTGCACAACACAGTCAAACCCAGCGTGGACTACGTCTGCCAGCTGAAGTTCCCATCTGGCAATTACCCTCCATGCATCAATGACACCAGAGACCTACTCGTCCACTGGTGCCATGGGGCACCAGGTGTTATCTACATGCTTGTCCAGGCCTACAAGGTACCAGAAATCTTGCAAAGACCCTGTGGGGACCCCTAAATGTGGAACTTCATCATGGAGAAGACTCTGTTGAGACCCCCCCTGCCTGAGAGTAGGATGGCTTGTTACAATGAAATCACCCCACAGGGACCACTGACTGAAACGGAAATTAGTCTTTTAAAAAATTATTTCTGAAAATATCCATCAGCTGTGTGGGGTGTCCTGTTGCAGGTGACCGATGGTGACAACTAGTTGTGTGTGAAGTAATGGTCATACAGCCCCATTCATCATATCAAAAACCTCCTTTAAAGTAGACAGCAAAGTCACAGCATTAAGACTTCAGTAGGAGAGAAACTAATTAACCCAAGCCTCCCCACTGACACAGGGATGCTCTTTGTGTGGAGGAAATTGCCTCGGCAAGAGGGAATATTTCTTGTCTCTGCAGGTCTTTGGGGAACAGCAGTACCTAAATGATGCCCTGCAGTGTGCTGAAGTGATCTGGCAGCATGGGTTACTGAAGAAAGGCTACGGGCTGTGTCACGGGACAGCTGGCAATGCTTATGGCTTCCTAGCACTGTACAACCTCACTCAGAACATGAAATTCCTGTACAGGGCCTGCAAGGTGAGAGCCTGTGTAAGGAAGGGAGAGGGGATTATTCACTTCTGCCTTTTACGTCACCACCTTTGCCTTTGAAACCTAATTTCTAGTGTGGCAGAGATGGAGCTACATCTGACCAGCTCCACCAGAATAGTCCTTCAGCAGCACAGTACAGAAGGAATATCTTGCAGAAGCCTTGCTCTGGAAGGGATAAAGTGAGGACGAGGGTGATATTTTTTTTTTAAGATCCGTCTTTAACAAGATTTGAACACTTTCTGTTCCTCTTTTCTCAGTTTGCAGAGTGGTGTTTAAGCTATGGTCAACATGGGTGCCGGACTCCAGACACGCCATTCTCTCTCTTTGAAGGTAACCTCCATCTCTATGCTTGTGTTCTGCTCCTGGATCTGAGCCAGTCCAGCACCAAGGAAAACCAAATACATGCTCCACTGAAGTCTTTGCAAAACTCAGTGTAGAGGATGGGAAGGAAATTTCATTCACTGTTTTTACCCTTTCCCAGAAGAAGTCTTCTTGTAGTACAGGCTAATGTCTTAGCTGGAGCATCTTGTCCTCTTGGGCCTCCCACACAAATTCTGCACACAGGTCCCAAGGGGAATTCTTCAATGGGTACAGGCCAAAGTCCACCTTATGGTAATTTGTAGCCTGGCTTCTCAGTCAGTCTCTTTTCTGTCTATTTTTAAGGATTAAAGTCCTTCGTGGGCTTTCCAGCTCCATTCCAAAGGTGAGTGAGGAACAAATGAGGCTGCTTTTGGCAGCCTTGTTGGCTCCTACGGCACCTTGTGGCTCCTGCTAATGGCTCCCCCAAAATCTGCCACCAGCAGGTATTGCTGAAAGAGCCGGTTCCTCAGCTAACGTAAATCTTCCTAGCTTTGCTGCAGGCCAAGGAACAAGGGCAGTTACATCAATGAAGACCTGAGGCAGCAATGTCAAAGGGTCCAAAGTTTTCCAAAGATACTCAGATTGTTAAACCTGTGGACAGGTAAAACAGAAGGGAGGAAGCTGGAGGGGGAAGACCCATCATGTTTTCCCAGGTGCTTTTCAACATTTGATTAACTTCAAAATGCTTTCCCCGCTGAAGTTCCTAAGTTGCTTGGGAAACCTGGGTTCAGACCTTGGAAATTATTTAGGTCCTTCTGAAAACATTTTCCTTTCTTCTGTCTTCATGACTCATTCATCCCCTGGATAATTGATAAAATGGGTGCCCAAAGGGAATCTCTCTGAAGCACATTGTGTTTTCTTATCCTCAGGAATGGCTGGAACGATTTACTTTCTTGCTGACCTGCTGGTGCCAACCAAGGCTAAGTTCCCTGCATTTGAACTCTAAATCTGAGCTTGGCAGTTTCCAGCCTGAATCCTTCCGCACTTGGAAAAGCAGTTCGAAGCTGCTTTCTCCTTCGTCCAAACTCATCATTGTTCACCTAACTGAACGTAAATCCATCCTCCTGAGGGCATGCTGAGTTCTCTAATATTTCTGGTCATCTCATTGCATTGTTTCAATTTAAAAGACAGAATGCCGACCTTGCTGGGGTCCTGGGGTCTCTTAAAAATGCAGGGCTGCAGGTGGGAGCAGGGAGAAAATGTACAGTATTTTGTTGGCTATAGAGTTTTACTATTTTCTGTATCCCATTTCCTGGGAGAAAGTTTTCTATTGAATGTAACTTTGGCCATTTAATTTTTTTTTTTTTTTCTTTTGTGCTGACAAATAGTTGCAGGAATTTAGTTGCCTTCGGAAAACAAAAGATGAAAAAATGAGACTACTGCCCTGCAAGTTGCTTTTAAGTGTTTTCTTTCTGAGCACCCAGGCAGTAGGCAGTTCAGTAGCTGGGCTGCTCCACATGAAGCAGATGTGATGGACTGTGGAGTCTTTATATATGGTTTTTTAATGTCAGATTGCAAGTGGCACAGCTGGAACTGTCATGCCAAAGCCTTGTCCTGAATTTCCACCTATCTGCTTTAAAGGCAAAGGCTATGTATAGCTCTTTTGTGCATTTTTTCTAGTGACAGACAAATAATCCACTAGCTTTTGTGCTTATTTGCCATCTTAGCTAAACCTTGCAAAAGTCCATTGATCATCTAATGGAAAACTCCAGTCTAAAAATGAGCTAAGCATGCTTGCTGGTGTGGTCTCTTCTGTTCAGCTCTGAAAGTTTATTTTGCAGTCTTTATTTAAAATTGCGTATGAATATTATAGGTGTTAGGTAGTGCCAGGCCCACCAGCAGCAGCATGGGAAAAGAAATGTATTCCACTGAGTTCTGTCAGTGTTTAAACCTATTACCTGTATAGATGTTGTTTACGTGCTTTGTTTTATAAGCTTTCCTGAACCTGGATAAATGAGTCGCTTGTTTGACTTGTTACTGCTTGTTGTAGCTTGATATGCAACCACACATTTCCAACTGGAAAATCTGCCCTACGTTAAATAGCTTTTACCTGTCAAGCAGACCAGATACTTGCAAGGGGTAAATCTGCTTTTCCGTCCTTAGCTGATGCTACACTAATTTGCAGCAATTAGGGTCCCAATGCTGTAAACCACTTTCTTAGCACTGAGCATGAGCTAAACACTGAGTGCAGTGAAAGTTACTGATGCAGCCGTACCACTTTGTGCTGTCTGAGGGCAGCTCCTCAGCCTGCACCAGAGCAGACGTGGGTTTTGATCTTTTAAGGGCCCACCTGCTGAGTGCCTCAGGCCACCTAAGAGCAGGCAAGCAGCTGCAGGGCAGCATGGGCAACCTCCAAGCCAGTGCGCTCCTGCAGCAGCGATAGTGAAGCAGGAGGACCAAACATGGCACACTAACACAGATAGCTCACATGTGCCTGAACGCAGGGCAGCCTAGCCACAGCCAGCATAGGCAGACCCTCAAGAGCCTCCTGGATGGGCTGCCCCAGCAGAGAGAATAGAAACCATTCCTGGAAGGCTGCCTGTTTCCTCAAAGTCCAGCCATCACAGGTTTCTGGAAGTTCGTCAAAAGACAGCCTGAAGCACAGAGAAGCTCATCTGCTTTGGGCTGGGCATCCCTGTCAGAAGCCTCAAGCTCATGCAGACTCAGTGGTGGTCATCCCCTATCATTCACAGGGCCTAAACAACACAGGGAGGTGACTGGAAAGGAGGAAGCATAGCCTTGAGAGCAGGATTTGGCTAATCAAACAGTACATGAGGCCTGCTGTAAGTTACCTCTCAGCTTGGCTGGTGTGATGGCAATGTAGGGATACTGCTCTGAGCCTGGGTTTCTCCTGAGCACTACTTCTGCCAAGGAGATGGTTCGTGCAGCCTGGTGTCATGGCAGCATCACATCTCAGGGTTCGTACGCTGATCAGGGAAGCATCAGGGCCTGGTGTACAACTGCTTAATGGAGCACTGTTTAATAAAAATACTGAAACAAACAAGCTTTGGATTATTTTTACCCCTGGCTTTGTGACCAGGATTCATGTCTGAAGAGATCAAGATATGCCACAACAGCCGCTCTGGTAGCTCCTGGAGGCTCATTGGCCTCCCTCCCACACACCCTGAATGTATTTCATGTTTTTCCCCATCTCCAATCCATCGAGGCCAGTCCTGTGCTTTCCCTCACAGGCTGTGCTTTTCTCTCAGGACATCCTTTTGCAGCACTGTCTCTGTCCAAGGCTGCGTCCCCCCTACTGTGGCTTCCATTGGAGACCACAGTCCTGCAGGTTAGTCTTGATTGCATCAAAACAGGCCTGTGTGCAGTGCTGGCCACCAGAAAGAGGATGTGGATCCTCCCAAAAAAGCACCCTCCTGCCCAGTGGAAGGAGGAACAGGCTGCCTCAGGAAACTGTGACTGTCCAGCACCAGAGGCTTTAAGATCAGACTATCAGGAATGGTATGGGATCCTGCCCTCCAGCACAAGCATAAATTAAGTTGCTTGAGGTCCTTTACAGCCTGGTTTTCTACAATTTCCATTTCTGTTAAGGTTTATGGTAATGCTCTTCAGGGAGGGGGTCCAGCAATCAGGATGGGAAAGAAGCATAGTGCGGAGTTTCTCTGGTTGCCCTTGCTTTCTCGTACAGGAGTGTGGTGCTGCCCACTTCCACCCATCTTCATGCCAAGCAGAGGGAGCGGGAGCAAGATGAAGCCTGAAAACACACAACTGCTCCTGCTCTAACCATGTACCTGAGAGTGACTTTAGCAGAAGTGTAGACATTTAACACTTAGTTCTTGGCGGTGGTTATGTTTGTCCATGGTGTGTTCTGTTTAAAAAAAAAAAAAAATCAAATGCCTTATACTCCCAAGAAATAAGTAAAAAGCATATTTTGAATGCATTGCCATCTGGCTCAGTTTGTGTTCACCTCCTGTGTATACCAGTGTGATCAGTAAGATGAAAAATGTCCCAAATACTGTTAACCAAACATCATTTGTAGGTGTGCATCTCCCCCAAGAGCCTGCTGAAACCCCAAGAGGTTTCAGCTCTCAAGAGCTGACAGCAGCCTCTGCTATGAAAGAGGTGACATAGGGACAGTGCAAGGGGACAGATATGTTATTGCTGCCTCTGCCCAACTTACTTCATTTCCCATTCCTGCATATTAACTTTTCAAATGCCCACAAACTGCAATCAGTGCTGATGTTAAATCTGTGGCTAATACTAGCAACCCCCCCCCCCCTCCAGGAGTGGTCCTCAGCCCCTACACCATTAGCAGTCAGACACATACCTCATTTGATAAATCAGTTTACGAACTACCACTGCAGTTGTTTAATGCACACTGGTTTCACTCTGAAACCACTTCAGAGTTGGCTGCTGGCTGTGGAGTGGCAGACGCCCTCCTTGTGTTGGTAGGGAAAAAGCACAGCAGAAGAGCAACTCAGCCTCCACAAACCCCAGCTCGGCCTCCTGCCCCCAACAGGAACATTGTTCCCATCTGACAGGCACAGAGCTGGGTGAGGTGGACAATTAAGGTTGCATGTCCCACGTGTGATACCACAAAAGCAGCTATCGGAGAAGCAGCTGCGGGGCACAAAGCTGCTCATGAAGGGCTTCATTTACATGAGTTACCCAGCCAGACCTCGCCTCTGTCCAGCATCTCATCTGACTTCCATCCCTTTGCGTCACTATCTTGCCTTTCCCCCTTCCCCTCTTATTTTGTTCATGTTTTTCCACCACAGTGTAATACCTTGGCCAAATTTGAGTGGGGTTTTCTGACAGTAACACCCAACGGAATGTGGCTGGTCCCAGTGAGACCGTAAGTCCTGCTTCAGGCCAGCAAGGTCCCAGCACATACAGTTGAGTTGTTGCAAGAGATTTTTGGGTTTTTTACACTGGGAAGAATACCACAGGTTCCTCACCTCTTTCTGCCCAGAATGTCTGAGCCCTTTGGCCAAAGTGTCCCCCACATCCCTTTAGCTGCATCCAGGAAAGAAACCTGAACTGAAGGCCAGTACCCAGACCAGGAAATCTAAACCCCAAGAGTTACAACTCGCAACGTTATGAAGTGTCTGAAGACAAAATCCAACAGAGCAGGAGGCAGCAGATCCGCACAAAATAAGCACCTGAGGAAACATGCTGGAGCTCAGCTAGGCTTACCCCTGGCAGGGGAGCTGGCCTGGGGACACCCCTTGCTGAAGCGTGGGTGGAGGTGGCCTCAGCAAGGGGCTGTATGTCCCCAGCAGGTGGCAATGCAGCCTGACATCAGCAACCACCCTGCCATTGCCAAGCACATGCCTGCACCCTCAGCTGCTAAATCATACCTCGAGAGAGCTGGGATTCAGCTCTTGGGTAGCCCTGGGAAAGTTGCTCAAACCAAAAAGCCCACACGGATGAGGTTGTATTTGTATACTGTGTGGGATGACAGAGATGTGAGAAATGTGGAAGCCCTTCAGAAGTGCATGGTCTCTAAGTCAGTCATGCACCCTCAAAAAAAAACCAGAACAAAAAAGCACATCTTTCCCAATCCTGCCTGAAGCCACTCAAGTTCTTCCTCAAGCCCCCGCAGGGGAGGTCAACTCCTCATGCTCTTCAGCCACATGGGCAGGTTTTCAAGGAAATGCTCCACGTGCTGGGTGAAAATGTTCTATAGGCCTCCCTACATCAGTTCTACAGACGTTGCACAAGTTCTGCCACCAACTGCTCCCAACTCGCGGGAACTAGAGAGCCGACAACCCCCATCCCCACAGGCTACCCTTGTGTTTGTGAAGTCTCCTGCACTGAACATGCCTTCCCTAGAACCCCATAGGGTTTGGGGACATCCCAAAGGGCAAGAGCATCAAGAAAACCCAGCTGGGCACATTTGTAAGGGTGCCAAGGCTCACCACTGAGATACTTTGATGTCAAGGGAAAAACCAAACCTAGGTAGGGCTGAAATGGCTCCTGCAGATGGCTTTGCAGTGGTGTCTCCATTGGGACATGGCCTGAAGCCAACAGGGCCAGAGCAGCCTTGGGTCTCCCTGACCCTGCTGACAGGCAGTCTTGGGAGTTTTTAGGCAACCCCTTGCTTCGGCCATGCGTAGGGATGGTGGAGCACAAGGCAGGGAACTGGGCCCCATGGAGTGGGGAGTTTCAGGCCAGTGGTTTTTTTCAGGTTTTCAGGGGGATCCCAGTGCACAGTGGGTGTGCAATATTAGCATCCAAACTCACTTTCAACCCAGCAGGAAGCAGATAACTAAGCTCAGGCCAACATAGACTCAAAACCCCAAATTCAGTATCATAGCTGGTGTGGATGGATACTGCAGCATCTTTATAGCTGGGCCTTTCAACTTACCAAGCACAGTTCATTAACCTTGGCAAAAGGGATAAGCATGGACTTCCAGATTATAGCTGAAACTGAGAGGGTTGCTTCATTGACTGTTCTCCCTGAATCAACACAGCTTATACCTTCTGCTTGCCTTTTTGGTTTTGTTTTTCCTCCTTACCTTTGCTTTTCTCAGTGGCAGTAATTTTCTGGAAAAATCGTTTATGTGGGCCAGATCTGGAGCTGTGTAAAGCCCATGGAGTTAAGCTGATCTAGAGCACTTTCGGACCCAGCCCTTTTGCAACAGCTGAACGTAGGAGTCAGGGGGAGTATAATTAACTTTGAACAGTTGATCAAATTTCAGGCTTAGCTAATAAGCCTGTTTGTGCCTGACCTTAACAGCAAGTCTTGGTATATTAATTAAAGGATCCCAGCAAGATCTGACAGGTAGTTTTTTGTTGTTGGGTTTTGTTTTTTTTTTTTTGTTTGGAAAGAGCAAGCAAGCTCTTCCATCATTCAGGATGTCCCGCATTGAACATCCCCTTACCATGAGCTGGAAACAGATACACCACCACTCTCCCTTTAACACAAACATATTTACATCCCTCCTATACCCCTGTCTTTGCCAAGATTACAGAATATCACTTCATACCAACTAGGCTTCAGAGAGCTCCTTCCCAGCTCTGGAGCGAAGATCAGGGATGCTGCTACCGCAAAACTGATGTTGCTTGGCTTGGGTGATGCTTTGCAAGCCCAGAGAGGAGATGAGGCTTACTGTGCCGATGGCCGTGCTGGCACTACTGTGAACATGGTGTTTGGTGTCTGGGGATGAGCATTGCCCACCATCCTGGTACCACCCCATTGGCAGAACTGACCTTTGAAAACAGAGGATGAGCATGAAGATCTCTGCCTGCCTGGGCGGCTGCAATGCACAGCTGCTCCAAGGCCTAAAGAGAACCATCACATCTTCACATCCTGCAGGATTGTTGCTGTTTCAGAATCAAAACCACTCCTTCAAAAGCTGTTAGGGAAAAGCAGAACAAAACAGCTCTCAATACAGCTGCTGATTCGAGACAGAGCCTGTTATTGCCTCACCCACAAAGCTTTTTATTCCCAAGTGTAGTTCTAGCCAGCTTTCACCCTCAGCATGGTGGTCCCTGCTGTTTCCTCCTGCAGCAGAGCTGCCTGAAGACACTTCTGTTTTACCTCTCTCCCTAACTCACTCTCACCCACTTGTTTCTGTCTCCATGCTGCCCCTTTTGGGGAAGAAGGGGGGTGGCTTTTACTCATTTTTTTATTCATTTCACGAATCCAGTTTACAGCATCACAGCAAGGGGAAGGCAAAACGCAGTGTGGGAGGAAGACAAAACCAGCTTAGCACAAGGAAACCTGCGCCCTCCCTACTGCTCATGAGGAGAAAGTGTTTGAGCACAGCCCAGGACCACCCAAGAACAACCTCATCCCCAATATTTGGGCAATCTAGATGCTAAGAGTTGCCAGCAGAAAGGGGAGAAGAGGATTAAGTTCTTCTTCATGTAGTCCACAACTCCAGAGGCACAAGAGCCATTTGTTTTTGCCACCCTCTGTGCTGCACAGGATGCCTTGCAGCCACTTCACCCTCAGACGCCGCGCACCCCCTCTGCTTCCCCCAGTGAGTGAAAGACGGCAAATTTGGCCAACAAGTACAATAGATCCTATAATAAATGGCCACCCTTGAAGCCTGTGGATGACAGTACACTGCTCTGCTTCCTCTGCAGCAAGGAAGACAGCCAGCAATGGAGAAGACATAGAGGCAACGCTAAAAACAA